AACCCACATCTTCTTTATCCAGTCTCCAACTGATGGTCACTTGGGCTGTTTCCAAGCTTTAGCTATTACAAACTGTGCTGCTATAAACATGGGTGCACATATATCACTGTGGTATGATTCTTTTAATTCTTTGGGGACGATACCAGGAGGGGGATAGCTGGGTCAAATGGGACTTCAAACCTAGTTGTTTGAGATATCTCCATATTGATGTCCACTCACTGTGGCTTTTAATCCTTTGACCTCATGCATTCTTGGAGCTATGTGAAATGAGTCTGGAAAAAAATGTGCATTATCTTCTCTCTTTAACCAGTGGTAAGCTCTCTGTGGTGTGCATAAGGTCACTGCCTAGGACAGAAAAACAAAGCTGGGGGAGCAGAAATTTCTTAAGGATGGGCTTCTGTGGTTACTATGTCTTCAGAGAGTATGGTGTATATTTTTCCTAACTAATAACATAATAAAAATAAAATAGAAGACATTCAAATTTCTATCAAATATTCACTAGAATGATTATATGATTAGCCTGCAGATAAGAAATAATCTCTTTTCAGAGTCGCTTGGACGTTTATTTGTCACAGAAACCTGCAGGAACGTCTGTTCAGACCATGCTGCACTGGGCCCAGGTATGTGCTTCCACATGCAGCTGACTGACACTCCTATGTCTTTGTGACATCCGGAGGAGTGCTCCCTGGGACTTCACCACTGGGTTCTGCAGGCACCTTGGGAGCACTCACCTTGATGATTCTGGAATTAGCAACGACTCCTGATTTTGGTTTCCTTTGATCCCTTTATTTTCCCTGTCTCAGTGTCTGCCTTATGAGCCTGGTTCCCACATGTTCTGACCAAGCTCTGATTCTTAGATTATCTCAAAGGGCCCTTCCAGGGAAGGCTTGCATTTTCTCTTTTAGAAAATCAGCAGCTGCAGTAGAACTTTATATAAAATGACACGGTCTGTTCCAGAAAGACCTGTTCATCTTCCAGTTTACATATGATCCATTTCAGAATAATGAAATAATGTTTTATTTAGAGCAAATTAAATTCTAGGGAGGGATTTGAATAGACTAATAATTTCTGTTTTTACCCTGTTAAAATTTTACTTGCTTTATTATATTACTCTATATTTGACAAGCTCAGAGATAAGACAGATTCAATTCATATAGCTTCTGAGCCAAGAATGTGTGTGTGTGTGAGTGTGTGTACATGTGTGGTCATTCTTTCATTGCGTAAATTTTACCTGTATTCTTGGCCAGTGGCATTAGTCTCACTCCTTTTGAAGAGTGAACAAAATATATGTCATCAGGCCAAGTGTCCCAAACACCCAGCCTAGCATTATATTGCTTCCCACACACCCCTCAGCTTGGCCCTGCAGATGGGAGAGACAAAACAGCACCATATCTCACACAGAAAAGTGAGGATCTCAGTGGATGAACATGCGTCCCAAAGGCAACAAAAAGGTTTAAAGATGGAGAATAGAGTAAACTACTTGATGAGGTGAATAAGACATAAGATTGTTTAAATAGTAGTAGTTTAACTTTTTCCCCATATTTTTATTAATGCACATTTGTTATACAGTTTAATGGGTTTCATTTGGGTAGATTTGTACTTGCACATAACATATTTTAATCATTAGTAATTTTTAATGTTGGAAATGTATAGCTGGTGACCAAATACATATATATATTTCTATATCTATATATATATATATATATATATCTCTCTCTCTCTTTTTATATATATATATATATATATATATTTCTAAAGCCACGATACTAGACACATTTTTTTTTAAAAGTGTAGGGGCTAAAGATGGAGCTCAGAGACAGAGCAACTGTCCAGTATGTGTACTTACCCAACATATGTTAGGCCTTTGGGTTCAAGTTCTAGCATTGTAAAGAAAAAGTTGATGCACATCCTCCTAACATTTAAAGCCATTGCTGTCTGAGGATTTACATGAGAAAAACTATCGGGGGAATAACTTGTGCATCAGTTTTGTGAATTAATATCCATTTTATCAACTTTAATATATGACTGATGAATCTTTATTGCTATTTAGCTTATGTGACAAAAGAGTGGGGTATAATATCACTCTTCCTAGTATGTTTCTTGCTTACTGACTTTAAATTTTCATCCTTTCCCTATATCATTTTAATATATTTATTACTTTTGTTTTATCTTAGATTTTAAATTCTGATCAACTCCAAGCTTTTGATTGGGGAAATCTTGATCAAAACATGATGCACTTCCGCCAGGTACAATAATAATAATAATCACAGTCAGTTGTACACTGCAAATTAATTATTAAAAATTGTATCCATTTATTAAGTACATACTTAATCCCATTCACTGCATTGGATGTTGCTTATTGCTGCTATCATATACTGCTTATTAGGTTTTAACTATGTCCCATATAATTATTTCTATCCTCACAATGATCTTGCAAGGTAAATATTACTATGTCCATTTTTTTCCCAGAGGATCAAAGTGGTTAGGTCAATTGTCAGATTTATATAGCTAGCAAACAACCAGAATGTGACCCAGGGATTCCTGGGTCTAAAGTCCAATCCCCCTTCCATGTTTCTTTCTTCTCAACAAAAACTTTTGGCATTTAATTAAAACCATGTTTGGAAGAGAAAATGAAAGTACACAATCTTCATTATTAAAACATATTATCTAGGGGCCGGGGTTTAGCTCAGTGATTCCGCCACCTGCCCAGTAAGCTCAAGAACCTGAGTTCGATCCCTGGTACCAAAAAAAAAAAAAATTATCCGACTTCTTATGTCTCTAAAAAATAAAATAACGTTGTTCTAATCATTCTTTGAGATGCCATTTGCTAATCACTTTTTAAAAAACTAATATAATTAAAGATATATCCATCTGAAATATCATCTTTAGGAAGAATTAACAATACCTGCCAGGGAATGGTGTTAAAATATTTGATACTGTCTTTGAAGATGGTGCTATCTATCTTTTAGAGAAAATATTCTATATAAAAGAAATTGTACATTGTTATTTTTCACCAATATGTAAGGATATCCAATAATTATTTTAGCTTCTTCTTTTTTTTTTTTTTTTTTTGGTACCAGGGATCGAACTTGGGTCCTTGCACTTGTGCAGCAGGTGGCGAAACCACTGAGCTAAATCCCCAGCCCTATTTTAGCTTCTTGATAAAACAAGCTCAAACTGAATATGTAGTCATCAATATCAGTGATACATGAGTTTTTCAAATATGTGATATAAAGAGTTGGAAATTTTTTAAATGATTATTTTCAGTGTCATCATAACTATAATGGTAAACATACATAACACCAACTGGTGTAAAAAAAATCTATTTCTTCTCTTAACCTGCTCTAGTTATATATGCCACATGTATGCTGTCAGAGTTCCATTTTCCTTTGTAATTAATAAATTTTTGTCCTAGCAAGAGTATGTATCTTCTTCAGAAAAAACGTTTTAGATGATGACCTCAGAGACCAGCTTGGATGAAAGTTGGATCACAGATATTAGCTTTACCATTGTGGTCACAGATTGGATAAAATAATGATGATATAATGACTCAGGTTCAGTTATGGGCCTTTTGCTTGGAATTTCTTGGGAAGAGAAAAGGAAAATCCAAAACAGAGAATGAACTCTGTACATGTTTCAAAAGCAATAACCTTAATCACAACTATAATTGAAAGCACTGTAAACTAGATGGCTGCAATTACCAATGTCAATCACCCATAATCCTTTATTGCTAAGAAAGTAAAACATTTTTCTAAATAAATATATGCAATTTTAATTGTCAAATTTTAAAAAGTTTCTGGCCAAAAGCTATCAGATATCATTTGAATCCAAATATTAATATTCATTTTTTGTGATGTCATTTTCTAGAACTGGTTTCATCCTTAGTAAAGCAATGAACTCACTGGAGTAAAGGAATTCTGATTCAGGGACTCTTGACTCACTTTGTTTATCAAAGCTGGTGATGTTTGTTGCTTTCTCTATTGTTTTTCTGTTCTTCATCATTCTTCATCTCTACATTTAAATATTAACACTTTGTACTCTCCTTACTGAGAAAACTGTAGTCAAGAAAAGCAGCCTCTTCTTTCACTAGTTGCACTCTACCTTTGAGGCCCTGAGCTAGGCTTTCGGGAGCCCATCTTTCCCTTGCATGAGGAATGCTAAATTGCACTTATTTCCTCTCTGCCCTTTGCACTGGGTTCTCAAAGCTACATATTTTAATTTACCATTCTCTCTCCTTTTTTTTTTTTGGTACCAGGGAACGAACTCAGGTCCTTGCACTTGCTCAGCAGGTGGCAAAACCACTAAGCTAAATCCTTGGCCCTACCATTCTCTCTTAAAACTTATATGCAAGAAAGGCTTCCTACTACTATAGAGAAAGTGATAGTCTTAGAATATTTAGTAATCCAAAGACCCAGGCACTAATCCATCAAATGAAAGTTACACCCAACCTGACTATAGCAGTGGGCTCTGCCTGCATATCACTTTCCTAAGGGAACTTGAGGTACATAGTTACCTGGTCAGGTTCTCCTCCAGGCTCATTTCTATTGCTATAAGAAACCTCTTCCAGGCCAGTGTAACAGTTTCCTTTGGTACTATGCCTTTATCTTTATTCATTTTATCTTTTTTGTAATCTTTCTATCACAAATAACTAAGGTATGTTACTCCAATTGAGTTGACATAATAAAATGCAATATATTAGGAGATTTAATTCATAGAAATTCATGTTCTTGCAATTCTGAAGGGTGTGTGGCCAAAATTAGGGAGCCAGTATGATGGGTTCTAGTGAAGACTCTTCATGACTTTCAGATGGATGGAAGTCCTAATGTGTGTCCGATATGTGCTCCTGGAGAAACAGAGGAGAGAGGCCCTGTATGTGAAGAAATGTCCTCTTTTATGTAAGACTTCCAATTCTGTTGAGATAGAATCCTATTCTTATGACCTTTTAAACCTTAATTACCTCCTAAAACGCCTGTTGCAGTTAGAATGAAGTTTCAATTTGATGAGTTTTGGATATTCCCTAGGGATTGGTGGAACACACTTCTAAATCTGTCTGGGTAGGTCATGATGGCATGGCCTTGGGGTCTATGTCTGGTCCTTCACTTTCTGCTCTCTGTTGCCCTGCTTTGTTTCCTGGATGCCATGAAGTAAAAAGCTTCACTCCACTGTGCTCCTCTGCCTTGAGGTTTCTGCCTTGGAGCCTGTCAACCATATGCTGAATCTCTTAAAATATGAGCTAAATTAATGCTGGGTATTGTGCCTTAGCAACAGGAAAGATGACTAACACAGAAAATTTGTACTAGAGAAGTGTAGTCATTGCTGTACCTGACAGTGAGGTTTAGGGGCATTTAGAACAGATTTGCTGGAGGAGTTCGGAAAGGTTTGGAGATGAAGGCTAGAGAAGTCTTCGAATCCAGTAAGCAGAGCCTGATGGGTAATTCTGTTTGAAGTTCAGAAGATCAGAATGCAGACATTAAAGACTAGGCTCACAAGGTTTCATTTATGAACAAGGACTCCACTGGCAGTTGGACTAGAGGCCACATGTGTTACACTTTGGTAGAAAATTTGTCTATATTTTCATCCACATTCTGAGACTTTGCAGGATGCTATGACTAAGGGCAGTGGGCTAATTCATCTGACAGAGGAAATTCAAGACACCCCAAGGCTATGACATTGGTACTGCTGGCTACTTTTAACAAGATTTATAATGAGAATTGGGGGCAAACAGCAGAGCAGAAAAATTTTAAAAACTCAAATTTTGCCCAAAAGAAATAGATTGCTATTAAAAAGAAAGCAAAATATTTTGTATGGAGACCAAAAGAAAGATGTCTTGAGATCATCTCAAGAGTCAGCAAGACCTCACCCATTACAGGCTTAAGGGTACAAAAGTGTTAAATTCTCATTTTAGAAGAGAGTCCTTGGGACACCTGCTCAAGGAAGGCCTCTTAGAAAATTGGTTCCTTGGGATTCCTTTCACCATGCTCAGTCATCGAGGTGCTCAGAGGCCACTGCAGCCATGGTTCAAGGGAGCATGGCTACTGCTTCTGGTGACAGCAGACTTTGGTATCATCCACGTGATTCTGGTTTTACTGGTATGCAGAATGAAAGAATTATGGGGTAAAGGAGACTTCCACACAGACTTTAAAGGAAGGCCTGGAAAACCAAGCAAGGAGCCCCTGAGAAAGCAGTGTATGAAGCAATGGGAATAAAGAGAAAGATGAGGTAGAGAATCCAAGAAGTCAAAGATGCTAGGAACATGAAATGTCTGCCAAGGATATCTTCAGGCCATAAATGAAACCAGTCCAAGAGAGAAGGTGTGTGTGTTACAACTGTCAAGGACACTGAGATGGAGTCACCCTTTGGAACTCACAATTTGCCACCATGTGCCCTGGATACCAGATACGGAGCTATGGGACTTAGTATTTGCCAGGTTGAATTTCAGTCCTGCTTTGACCCAATTTTTTCTGTCCCCTTGTTCCTCCCTTTGGCATGCCAATATTTATCCTGTGCTATTGTGCCTTGGAGTTATATAACTTGCTTTTATTTTTGCAGAGGTTCGCAGCTAAGAGTTTTCCTTAAATATCAGAAGGGAATTGGAGTTTCAAAATATGCTGGAATGGATGAGACTTTGGGAAAGGGATTATTTTATTTTGGGTTTTATACAGTACAGTTGTATTATGTTTAGACAGACATATGCACTTGATATTGCCTTGATTTGGAGATTAAATATGGTTTAAAGAGATATGTTTCAGTAGCAAATTAAAAAGGAGTGGTATATAGTAGTTAAAAGGGAATTTCAAATTTTTTTTATCTAAGTGTATCTGGGTGGGTCATGGAGGTATGGCCTTGGAGTCTATGCCTGGTCCCTCACTACTTCTACTCTAGCACTGTTCCCCTGTTTCTGTTCCCTGAATGCCATGAAATAAGCAGCTTTGCTCTACCATGCCCCCTGTCCTGTGGTTTCTGCCAACCATGTGCTGAATCTTCTGAAAGAGTGAGTTAGTTAAATTAAACATTTTCTCCTTTGATAGTGGATATTGAGTATTGTGTCACAGTGGCAGAAACCTGACAAATACAAGTCCTGTCTCCAAATATCATCACGCTGAGGTTTGTGGCATATGACTTTGAAGAATTATCAGTTCAGCACACAGCTTATAATAATCAAAAAATATTCATTGCAAGTAACAAAAAACAACTAGTTTATGTTTCAAAGAGAAAAGAAGTTCTGGCTTTCTACACTACAATGTAGTAGTAAACTGGCAATAGCCAGGGACTTAAATGATACCATCAAGTCTCCCTTTTCCTGTCCCTCTTCCTCTCTTTGTTTCATTTCCTCTCAATTCTCATTAGAGATGCTTGTTTCCATTTTGAAGTTCTTTCAAACATGGTGCTAAGATGGTGAATATAGGTACTTAGTTCATATAGCTCTTGTAATTTCAACCCCAATAAAAAAGCCAGGACATTCTCAATAGCCCTAGCAGAAAGACATCTGGGACAGTTTCAGCGACATGCCCATGTCTCATACAATCATTATAACATGAAGAATTGTTGGCAAGACCTGGTCACTTGGACCAGGAATTGTATTATATCAGTACAGGAAAGAAGGAATAAAGGAAAACTTACTGGGAATCTCCCACCGTATTTCTCTATAACAGACTAGCTCCCTTTATACATCATACTTCAAGTGTTGGTTTTATACATTGTTATAAGTACTCCCCAAACAGAGTTGCTGATATCTGAGTGTCAATAATCCTATTGAGCCCAGATTTCTTCACATGAGAAGGGACATTTATCCTACCCAACATTTTGTTTTAAGAAAAAAAATGCACTCTCAGATAAAGTGCAACCTGAAAAATGCTTTCACATATTTCTAGGAGAACACTCTTCTTTTAAGATCTTTTTCCATTTTCTGGGCAAGTAGAATGTAATGGTTGTCTTCTTGATTTGAAATTCATATTATTGTATTTCAAAGGTTTTTAACATTTTAATGATTCTGTATCATTAAGTATATGCCAATTACACACTTTTAGCATTTGAAAAACTTACTTAACAACTGATAGTTGATATTACTTTTGTAATGTAATTTTTTCTATTTTTTTCATTATATTTAGCTTACACCTCCTTTATACAACATTACTAAGATGGAAGTTCCAACAGCAATATGGAGTGGTGGACAGGATATTGTGGCTGATGCTAAAGACATGAAAAATTTACTCCCTAAAGTTGCCAACCTTATTTATTACAAAGTGATTCCACACTACAATCACATGGATTTTTACCTTGGACAGGATGTACCCCAGGAAATTTACCAAGATCTAATTAGATTGATGAAAGAACATTTATAAAATTAAATACAGTTTCTTTCTTTAATCAATGGGTTTTTGTATTAATAAAGAGGTAGGCAAATCTTAAGGTGACTCTCAATAATTTTGACCTTCTGGTGTCCCCTGGGCTTCAGTGATGGTATGACCTGAATCTTACTTCTAGCCAACAGAATAGCAAAAGTGGTAGACATCATACCCTCATTTACATTATATAAGAAATGTGATGGGATATCATTCTCTAATTATATTTCATTATACTGTGTCAGGCACATGCCTATAATTCCATCACTCTGGGAGGCTAAGACAGGAGGATTTCAAGTTGAAATCCAACATGGGCAATTTAGTGACTTAGCAAGATCCTGTGTCAAAATTTAAAAGGCTGTGGATAGCCTAGTGTGAAGGCCCTTAGTTCAATCCTTGATACGGAAAAAAATACTTGTAAGTAGATAAGAGCCAGAGATTGTCCTTTTGGCCTGATAAAATAAATAGATGTATTGAGGAAGCCCACACTGCAAAGAATGGTGCGTGGCTTTTAGAATCGTCCTATTAACTTGCTGTTAAGTAACAAAACACAGAGCCCTCAGTCACATAGTCACATGAACACGAACTCTGCCTAAACCTGCTTGAGCATGAAAGTCTATCATCCACAATAAAGCCTGCCATTGTGAAGAAAGCCTTGACAACAGCCTGTGAGACCCTGGAACAAGGACACTGCTACATCATCTAAACTGCTAATCTACAGAAACAATGAGATAATGAATATTTATAATTCTAACCTTTCTAACCTGCTAAATTTGTGTTAATTTGTTTTCAACAATGGTAAACTACTTCTACTAATTATTGTTAATGTATAGTAATTATGTAATTAGTATGATAAATAAATTTCATTTTATTAATTCTAAATTACAGTATATGCTGCTATATAATCCTATGATACTGTATTATGTATAACATTCTATTCATATATTTTATGTTATATCATAATGTACAATATATTTTTTTTTCCTCTGGTTGAAAGTTTTCTTATTTCATTTACTTTCTTTTGGTCTAATGTACTTCCTTAAGCATTTGTTTTTCATATCTTGATTTACTCAGTGTTTATTTGTCTGAAAAGCCTTCATTTCTAAAGGACTTTTTTCTGAGAATAGAATTTTAGATTGAGGTGGTTCATATTTTACTTTTCCGGTGCTTTTTAAGTGCTGTTCATTGTCTTCTGGAATAGATAATTTTTTGATAAGTCTGAGTTTCTCATCTTTCTTTTTACTTAATGCACCTTTTTTCTTTGTTTTAAAAAGTTTCTATTTATAAATTGTGTTACCTTTGCAGCTCTATGACAAAATACCTGAGATAAACGATTTTAAAAGAGGAGAGATTTTTTTTTGGCTCATGGTTTTAGAAGTTTCAGTCCATGGTCAACTTGCTCCATTGCTTCTGGGCATGTGATGAGGCAGAATATCATGGTGTGGGGTGCATGTTGGAGCAAAACCACTCACCTCATGGCAGCTGGGAAGGAGAAAGGCAGGAAAGTGTTCCATATATTCTTCAAGGGCAAGTGCCCAGTGACTTACTTCTTCCAATTAGGCCTCTCCTCATAAAGTTTCCACCACCTCCAGTAACACCATCAGCTAAGAACCAGGCTTTCAACACACAAGCTTCTGGGGGATACTGAAGATCTAAGCCCTATGTGGATGATTTTCACCAATTTGAATCAGATGAGCCTTGTTGTGATTTTGATGTATAATGCTGCTTCAACATTCATGGGCTTCAGTAGAGTAGCTGGATACAAGGTCAACACTCAAAAAACAATAGCCTTCTTGTACACAAATAACAGGCTCACTGAGAGAGAAATTAGGGAAACAATTCCTTTTACAATAGTGTCCAAAAAAATGAAATATCTAGGAATCAATCTAACAAAGGAAGAAAAGATTTCTACACTGAAAACTACAGGACTCTGAAAAAAGAAATCGAAGCGGATACAAGAAAATGGAAAGACATCCCTTGCTCCTGGGTAGGAAGAACCAATATAGTGAAAATGGCCATAGTTCCAAAACTACTATATAGATTCAATGCAATGCCAATTGAAATTCCAATAGACTTCACAGAACTAGAGAAAACAATCCAAAAATTCATTTGGAACCAAAAGAGACCTAGAATAGCAAAAGCAATTCTAAGCAACAGAGATATGGCAGGGGGTATCACAATCCCCAACTTGAAACTATACTACAAAGCTACTGTGATAAAAACAGCATTGTACTGGCAAAAGAACAGACCTGAGGATCAGTGGAATAGATCAGAAGATACAGAAGCAACTTCAGACATACTCAGCCACCTCATCTTTGACAAAGGAGCCAACCACCCTCATTGGAAGAAAGATAGCCTATTTAATAAATAGTGTTGGAAAAACTGGATTTCAACCTGCCAAAGATTGAAACTAGGCCCATACCTATCACCATGCACTAAACTAAGATCGAAGTGGATTAAAGATCTGAATATTAAACCAGAAACACCAAACTTGCTGGAAGATAAGTTAGGTAGAACTCTTGAAGACAGTGGCATAGGAAAAGACTTTATGAACAAAACCTCAGTAGCACGGGAACCAGCACAAAGAATCAACAACTGGGATCTCATCATATTAAAAAGCTTCTGCACTGCAAAAGAAACCATCAATAGAGCTAACAGACAACCTACAATGTGGGAAAAATTTTTTAGCAGCTATACCTCAGACAAAGGACTACTATCTAGAATATATAAAGAACTGAAAAAAAATCAGGCCCCCCAAAATCAAAGACCCAGTTCAAAAATGGGCATCTGAAATGAACAGACATTTCTCAGACAAAGAATTAAGGCAGCAAATAAATATATGAAAAAATGTTCAACATCATTGGTCATTGGAGAGATGGAGATGAAAACAACACTGAGATTCCACCTCACCCCAGAAAGAATGGCTGCTATCAAGAAATCAACCAATAACAAATGCTAGCAGGGGTGTGAAGAGAAAGGAACCCTTCTCCATTGCTGGTGTAGCCACTGTGGAAATCAGTATGAAGATACCTCAAAGAACTAGGACTAGTGGTCCCATTTGACCTAGCTATTCCCCTGCTGGGTATCTTCCTAAAAGAATTAAAATAATCATATCATAATGATTTATGTCCACCCATGTTTATAGTGGCACAGTTTGTAATAGCTAAAGCTTGGAAGCAGCCCAAGTGCCCATCAACTGGAAACTGGATAAAAAAGGTGTGGTTTTTTTTATAAAATGGAGTACTACTTAGCTATAAAGAATGAGAAACTAGAGTCATTTATAGCTAAATGGATGCATATTGAGGCCATACTCTTAAGTGAAATAAATAGGACACATATGTGTAAATGCCAAATAGTTTCTCTAGTGTGAGAAACTGAAAGTGTAAATAATGATTAAAATGATTAAAATTAATAATTGATAATTTGAAATAGCAAAAAAAATCCAAAGACGAAGGGGTGAAGGAAGGGGAAGGGGAAAGGAAAAAATGGAAAGGAAAAATTATGAGAAAAGAAAAAAAAATGGAAATGATGTCTATGTAAATAGGGAAGGGTGGAGGGGGTGAAGGGCACACAGGTAATGGAGAAAAAATAAGAATCAAGATACATCATGTACAAGTACAAATACCCAATGATAAATATAAACGTATTGTATACCTAAAATGTACCAATAAAAGAACTTAAGAATTTAAAAAAATTCATGGGCTTCTTGTATCTGTGGATTTATAGCTCTCATCAAGTTTGGAAAATTTCAGGCCACTATTTTCTCAAATAGTTTTGGTGCCCTCTCTTTTGGATAGATCTCTCTATTATCCATATGTTAGGTCACTTGGTACTGACACAGTAGACTCTGAAGTTGTATTTTCCAATTATATGCCTTTGTATGCTCCATTTTAGTTTCTGTTCCTATGGCTTCACATTCACAGAGTTTTTTTTCTTTTACAGTATTGTAATCATTCATTTCTGATACAGTTATTATTTTACATATTACATATTTCATCTCTAGAAATTCATGTGAGTGTTTTTAAAAATTTGTTTCTCTCATTTTAATGTTTTTCTTTAAATCTTTGAGTATTTTTTTTTTTGGTACTGGGGATTGAACTCGGGAATCTTTGAGTATTATAATCATAAACATGCTTCCTGCTTAAGCAGTCACTGGTCATAATGAATTTATTGTATAGATTTCTATTTTCCCTGGTTATTGGTCCTTTTTATTGTGCACTTAACAATATTTGTTTGATGCCAGACACTGAATTTTGTATTGCTGAGTGCTGAACTTTTAAAAAATTCCTTTAAATAGGATTGGGAATGTTTGAACAGCCAGTCCATTTACTTACAGATAAAACGATGGTTTTGAGGTATTTTATTCTCTTGAGGCTAGCTCTGGAGTTACCTCTGCTCTGAGGAAGTTTTATCTTACTATGAAGTCATGTTTTCTAAAGTCTCTACTTTATGTACCAAGTATTCAGAAAGGTCTGTCTACATTAGCTTGGAGGGAAATCATATTAGTTCCTACTTGAATTCTTTACATGCTAGGAATTGTTTTATTTACAGTTCTCTGACAATGATCTTTCTAAATTTTAATTTGTCCATCTTTATGGATTTTACTCTTTCAAGGTGAAGATTATAATTTAATCTAATGCTCCAGGGAACTATTCTCCTTATTTCTTGGGCTCTTTCTCTGCATTGCACCTTTCTCAAGGATTCTAATCCGCAAGTTTTGTTTTCATCATCCTCCCTAAATTGTACTTTCATTGTCTTTAAATCAACTGGACCACCAAACTCTGTTTGGGTCCCCTATTTCTGCTAATACCTAGAAATTGTTAGTAGACAGAAAATCACAGTTTTCATAGGGTTCATCTAATATGTTTTCTTCTTTTCAGGAGACACACAGTTCTATATTTTCTGTTAGCTGATGTCTGAACGTTGTTTTTTTTATTATTATTATTATGTTGCTTCCAATTATTTGATTTTTATGGTGGGGTCACAATTCCAGAGCCTGTTTTTGCCTCAAAAAGAGAAGCAAAAGTCAAAATTCTTTAAAAAAGGATTCCATTCACCTAATGCATATCCAATATAACTTGATAAATGATAGGTAACTGTAAAAAATGAATATATAACTATTAAAAACTGTAAGGTCTTCTCTGTTCTTCTATCCAAAATATCTCTTAGTATTAGTGTGCTTCAGGTCTTTCTTATACAATCCAACCCTCAAATTTTAGATACCAGTATGTGCAGTCATAGAGAATTTAGTGACTTACCCAGATTATCTGAATTTCTGAGTAAAATAGGATTAAAATCATATCTCCTTAATGCTGATCTACATCAACCTTTGCAAAAGCTTTTCTGCTTTCTCTCTAGTATCACTAATTGCAACTTTTTCTACTTACTTTTCTCTTGCTCCTCAAAACTGTTTTCACCATGAAATAGTACTAGTCTAGAACCTATAATGGCTTTCTGCTTTCTGTTTTATTGCATCAAATTCTAACTGCCCTGTCTTTCAACACTTTCCCATAATCTGACTCCGCCTGTTTTTTCAGTGATATTTGACTCTGCTTCCTAACCAAATGCACATCTTTCATCCAAGCAAGTTGCTATCTTCAAGCCATCTTATATTTCTCATCCTCTTCAACAGGATTTACCCACACTGTTTACCTCATACCAAATGGAGGTAATTCACAATATTGCATTTCTCAATCAAGTAAGGTTTTCTTATTTCTATTTCTCCATCATAGGAAAAATAACTTTTTAAATTAATAATCTCTTTTAATAGGAG